TATTTACTCAAAAATGTATATATTCCATTCTTTTTTTTTTTTTTTTTTAATATAAAAAAGATAATAATTCCTGTTTTCTCGATGCAGAAAATTCCCAAGTCAAACAGAAAATTTCAACAGTTCGATCTCTGCTTTGTTCATACATACCAACCAAACCATCTACCAACAAGGAAACGTCAGGAACTCTAATTATTCCCGAATTCACCGATTGTTTCCACATCGAAAGAAAGATGAAATTCGGTGCGATTGCGAGTGAAAAATCGATCGTTTCACTCCCTTGTAATTCCAGTGGAAACAGCCAAACGTATCACAAGTAGATTCGAATATATCGACAAGATTCGAATTCTTTATCTTAAAGAAAGAAACGATACTTTAAAATAAATTCGAATTTAAACATTCGAGAATGATTCCAGAAATGGAAAAAAAAAAATATATTACACATAGAATTTAGATTAGAGAATGGAAATTTATGGAAATTTATTCCAAAATTAATTTTCATAATTATCTCAATAATTCTCGTGTAGAAAAAAGAATGGCAATGCGAGATCCTGTTGGCAAGTTGAAATCTTTTTACAAAATCAATATTAGATTTTTTATAATGAAATATGTTTGCAGAAAGGAAAAAATGAATATTTTCGTGAAATCAATAATTTCTTTTCTTTTTCTTTTTTTTTTAATATACGAACATATTCTTTGATGAAAAATATTGCAATTTTGAATACTTGTAATTATTTTTAATTGGAATAGATTCGAATTTTTTATAAGTCGATAATCGAATTATCGAGAAAAGTATAATTTTTACGACGATTATTTTATAAATTCATACGTTCAATATTATTATACGAAATTTATTTATTTAACAAATTATATCGTGAAATATTATTTTTCAATAGCTAAATGAATTTATTAAAAATTATCGTAGTAAGAATCAAATATAATACTTTTTTAATAATTCGATGTTGATAAATTCATTTTTCCATCGAACATGGAAACTTCGTATCAAATTCTTATCAGATGAATCATTCACATTCGGATTTCGAGTTTCGAGCAAATCGTGATCGAAAACTCCTGCCCCGTTCACTGTGCCCAAGAATTTCAACCGATCGAATATCCCGGCTCACAGGCTCGAGATAATCGGTCTCATTGTTGGAACAGAATTTCCACCATTTCAGATTCAGAACTTTCGAATCGAGATCTGACGATTTCAGCCTTCAGGCACGGTTCGACTTCCCTTCGGGAAAATCTAGGAAGGAACAGCTGTACGGGATGGTGGGCGGAGTGAACCGCGGTTAAGCGAGAAAGGTGACGATGCTCGTTCGAGAAGAGGTGGAAAAAAAATGAGGGGGGAGAGGGGAGAGAACGAGGGAAGTGGAACGACGAACGAACGGAAAGGAAGGAAAGGAAAGGAGAGGAGAGGAGAGGAAAGCGGTTTCCTCGATTCCTTTCGAAAGAAAATTCGTCGAAAGAGAATCGAAAAGTTCGAGGGAACGTGCACGCGTATCTAAACGAAGCGAGCTTGGATACACGTAAATAGATGTGGGATTGGATCTTGCCCACGAGGTCTTTGACCTCGAGGTTTGGCAAAACGTAGAGAAAGAACGCGGGAGTAAACGAGAAATTTTCGTCGAACAAAAGTGGTAGAAAAGGAGAGAAATCGAGGGGAAACGCTTTGTTTAAGAATTTTCTTTCTTCGAAGAATAGATATCTTTAACCGAGGATAAAAGAATCGTATCCTCTGGGTGTATTAAGATATAAGCGATTTGATGTTAATTCCGTGCGATGCAGAATTTTCTTGGAGCTTGGATATCTTTCTAGAAAGAGGGGGGCAGAGAGAAAGATTCTGAGGCTTATTATTATTATTTTAGATATGAACAATTTTATCGAAGGGAAATCGAAGGGAACGGTGGGCTCATTGATTTTCGATAGGAATAATAAAAAAAAATAATTGAAAAGTTGCAATACGACAATACCGAACGTGTGTGCAAAAGAGAAATCGAATGTGTGTAGGAACTCTTTTACATTTAGTGGAAAAAAAAATCCCTATGATGCACGCGTTGTCTCGAATGAAATTAAATTATTTCCAATCTAGCCTCCACCAATCAGAATGTTTTTATATAATAATTTTTGTTTCGATATTCAAAAATTTCGAATGTAAATAATAAAATTAAAAATCTAATTAAATTCCAGAAACAATTTTTCCAAATTATTCTTCGTCCGAGTTTCGTATAGTCAAACGTTTCGAAACTTTGAATTCCGTCAGGAGTAACCTATTCTTAAATCACATTTTAATTTTCCTTAACGACTTTCAATTTAAATTTCATTTTACACAACAAGGAAAGAACTCATTAAACAAAGTGAAATATCAAGTTACTGTACACAGTATCGTCCAAAAAAGCAATTTTGAAACAGTCACACATTTTCGCACGAAACAAAATAAATCTCCACAAATAATTACAATAATTATATAATAAAGTCGCATTTTTAACGAATCAAAAATATTAATTTATTTATTTAATACGTTTCTTACTATCATTATCACCAAACTTGTATAATTATATATAACAAATAAATTTAATTCCGTCGCTTTTCGATTCGAAATATATCGCTTCTCGAACGACAGTGCTGCCACCGTACGTCCAACGATATGACACTTCCCCCTCCTTCCCCCGCGTCTTCACCTTCTCTTCTCCCGGAAATTTTGCCCGGAAAAGGTTCCATCAAGCAAGAAACACGATCAGGCCGGTGGCGGCGTTTGAAAACAAAGGAAACAAGGAAAGAACGAGAGGAAAGGACGACGAGCACGGGAGAGGCGATATCAAGTCTGAAAGCGAATCGGAGGTATATACGCAACCTAACCTTAAACCCTCGATGCGTCGAAGACTCATTAATTAAGACGACCCGTGGCGATGGCAGGTCGGAGATACGCGAGACGAAAATAATTAATGAGAGCAATGAATGTTCGCGCAATACGAACACCGGTGGACGAATTCATTAAGGACAAAAGAATTCACGCCCGAGAAATTCTTAACCTCGGAATACGGAATAATTAAAATATCGCGTCGTGTCGCGCAAAAGCTATTTTTGATTTGAAAACAAAATAATCTATGATCTCTTCGAGCTCGTGTGGAAATTGTCGTGTAATTTGTTCTTTTGTTATTGGATGTGCGTGGTTAAATATATAATATAAAACTGTTGTCACTTGTCGAGTCGCTCGTTTATCAAGGTTATGTTAAATTAATTTACCGCGTACGAGACATCGTTCAATAATAAACACTGTGAAAATAGTTTCTTTTTGGAGATGATTTTAAGATCGCGCGAAAACGATTTTATAGAACGTGGTTTTTTAAAGAAACATTTTTATTTAATAATTATGGGAATGATATTTTTATTCTTCTTTAAATTAATTTAAAGTTGTCAAATAAAGTAAGGTTAATTCAGAATTTCTTTTATTCCTTATTTTTATCGTTCATTGTAAGTTACTGCTATCAGAATTACGTAACAAATCTCTCTTCGGGCATCGATCCATCGACATTCCTGACGCGTAACAGGAAGCACGTAACACAAACTTGCGCCGATACTCGTGAATTTGATCCAGTGATCACCGAAACAACGCCTGAGGCGTGCTTGATCCATGGACGACGTTTCCTTTTCAAGGGAAAAAGATGAAAATCGAGGATTCAATTCAGCAGGTGAATAGAAAGAGGTTAATAAAAATTGGTGAAATTGAAATAATAAGAATCTTATGATTCTTATTAAAAAATAAACAAAAATCGATCATCTCTTAAAAAATAGAATAACTTTTTTTAAAATTGTATTAAAAAATTTGAGAAGAATTACTTCTTACATAATGTAATAATGTAAGAAGAATTTTGAAAAAATTAATTGGAATTTTTTGTAATTAGTAAATACAAAAATACAAGAAAATAGAGAAATATAGATTTCAAACGATCGAAACTTACAACTCATTCATTTTAATAATAAGATATATTAATTACTCTTTGATTAAATGAATAGGATTCTTATTATTTCAATTTTTATTAACCTCTTTCTATTCACCTGCTGAATTGAATCCTCGATTTTCATCTTTACTTACAAATAGATTTCGATAGGTCAATAATTTTCAAGTCCTGTGAAACGAATCTTTCATATCGAGATTAATTAAAATTTGCAGCTATAATCGAGTCGAACAAAAGAAATTTAATATGCAAACAACGTTCTTCAAGCTTATTTATCGAACTCACTTTAGATCTTCAATTTCCTTCTTCCGATTATTTCAATCCATTTCGCGCAAAATTGGAATTCGCTTATTCCATTTCAAAAGCCAAAAATAACTCCTCCATGATCGATTTCATCTTTTCTCAATGGCGAAAAACCACTTTCCCTCCTCCTTTGCCAAGACTACTTCGCCACCTCTTGTCTTCCCCCATTCTCAACCCTCCCCAGACGTGGTCTATGTGAGTAACGTGGCCGAGCATACAGTTTCATTACTGTCACACCGTATTGCGGTTCCACCCACGCGCATTACGAAATTCTTGCGAGTTGTTAAGCGGGACGAATTATCCTGGCGCCGTAGGAATGCGATAATTGAGTTTAAGAAATGGTGGTGGAAATAAGAATCTCCTTATTGAGATGGAAAGAAGGGAGGGAAATATTTGGTGATTGAAAGGATTTGGAGAGAAAGTGGTAATTTTAGGTAGGATGGAGAAGTT